TTTTATGCAAATTTAAATTTCCGAGAATGTTGTTGAAAATATAAGAAACACCATGGATAATCGCTTTTACTTACGAAATACTGAAAAAGTACTGTACTTTCAATATTTTATATATTCCTTTCATACTACGATTATTATGTGCAATTAAAAAATTTGTCAGAAAATTTGACGATTATCCAATTAATAGCGGACAATCATTGCTTTTGTATAACATTCAAATATTAAAATATTCGTAACGTTCATGAAAATTCGTCGCAAAAAAGAAATTTTGATCTAGATAACTGATAATGACCCTCGAGCCTTAGAAAAAAGAAACAAATTGATTAAGAGTTCCTTCGAGTCTGCAAAACTCTTAAAGGGCAGAAATTCCGGAAGAGTAAACTCTCGAAGGAAAATTATGTGATATTTCCAAGAGAAACTCTGTCTTTACTTTCCCACTACGTTCTTTTCTTCTTTCCTTTAGTGTAGAAGCAGTTTCAAAGAGAACGAAATTAGGAAGATGAAGGCAGAGGCTTCTTCTTTTAAAACGAGACGAGATCAAATTGATTATTCTTTCCTTTTTTTAGGCAAAATGTAACATTTCGAAGATGGACGAATTTTAAGGTGAAAGTTTCCTTTAAATTACACGTATTACGATTGAACGCGCAAGTTGAGACGTAATTCAATACGAGCTAGATTTCACATTACACTCGAATTGAAATCTAAATTAAAATTCAATCAAAATTATGCGGAAATGAGATCAACTTTCTGGCTTTCAGCTTGGTTACAAATTCGTACATTCGAAATCGGCTTTCAACGACAATTTCTTTTTCTCTGAACTTCGCACCAGGGCTGAATTTCATTGTTTAAAAAAAATTATTTATTTAGAATAATGAATATATTTTATTTTGTTAAATTATTCAAAAGAATTTAGAATAAGAAGGAATGGACGATACGTACCTTTAATTTCGCCTGGAAACTTGTTGAGTTCGGGAGATGAATTGCTTGAAGAAAAAGAAGAAGAAGAAGAAGAAAAAGAAGAAGAAGAAAGAACTGATTGCAAACGATAGTTCTACATTCCATGATCGTTTTATTTCCATTACAGAACAATGCTCGCAACGGGGAGCCGATCTCTCTCTCCTGTTGGTTTTTAACTCGATTTGTGTACGTATTTACAAGAACTTTCTCGATGTGCACGAGGAGACACACACGCAGCAACCTAAAAATCTTGCTCAGGTGAGACAGAGGTAAGAGGGAGAGAGAAAAATTTCGTTCGGACCGTGTTCTATTGTTTCAAGAAACATTTGTCACACGTGTCAGCGTATCTTCCATCTTCGGGACAATCGATTTAACGTTAATTTTTGATCCCTTCGTTCATATCATCGAGAATGCGACAACACGAGAGACGAAATGGCAAAACAGCTCCAAAATTTGACACAGTCGTCGACTGACTATGACAGTACGATTAAAACGGAAGTAAGCGTTTGACTCGTGATTTCTTACGATTCTTTTTTTTTTACATGGCAATTACACACACGAGTCGAAAGTCATGTTGGTGTAGTAATATCTTCGACTTTTGAAAAGCGATGAAGAATTTGGAAACACAGTGTGCTTTCGCGTTTGAATATCTCGAAAATCGAAGGAAATTCGAAACACTTCGCGTCGTGACTTTTGAATTTGAATTTGAATTTGAATTTGATCGTTGTCAGCTGCATCGTCGATGATTTTAGAAGGGCGGACGATCTTGAAATTTCTCACGAAACAAGTGACGAATCTTCTGAAAGGAATCTTACTCGTTTTGGTCCATTCTTTCGTTTTTCACATTCGTTTCTTTTTCTTTTCTTTCTTTTTTTTTTTTCTCCCTCTTCGCACTTTTTCTCCGACCTCGAATTTTTCCTCCAGCGAAAATAAACAATAATTTGTTCCATTCGCGCGTGTAATAATAATAATAATAATAATAATAATAATAATAATAAAAGAAATAGGAAAAAAAAACACGCGAATTTTGTATTATCCACTTTAATAGATATCAATAAATTCATCCAGTTTTTCGTATCGCAACTTTGGTCGATTGGATTACGCTGGTGTATCGTTTTGTGATTTATCGATTTCACTATAGCCTGCGAGTAGTGCGTATTTTACAACGGAGTATCAAGAACGAAATTCACCTCGTGTATTGCTTTTCAATTTTGTTTGTATCTTCTCTCTCTTTTTTTTTCAATTGTGCATCTTATCCGTACGATTGATTTTCTTTTTTTTCCTTTTTTTTTTTTT